CCGCAACGGCAGTTGCACAACCTCAGCTGCATACCCGGGCGCAATGACAAGGAAACCTGCGGTGGCAAACACAGCAGGTGGTGGGTCAGGGGGTCTCCTTCTTACCAAGATCGGGCCGAATGGATGTATGCGTTGCGGCTCATCGGGTGGAGGGTCCCCCTCGTGCTCATCCCACGCCTGCTCAACAGAGTCGTGCTGCGTGGGACGGGGCCCACTGCCCCTGTAGCCGGGAAGGCGACAAGTGTGCACATGCGGCGTATGGGTGCCCTCAGCAACATCGCCATCGTTCAAAGCAGTGTGCGAACCTGGGGCCGTAGGCTGAAACATCACCACGAGTGTGCAACAATGAGTGAGGCAGACTTTGTTGCCTTTTAGCGGGGCGCCGAATACAGTGATGTGAAAACCCGCAGGCACCTTGAGGTCGAGTGTGGCGACTGCGGTGGAAATATCAACCCAGCCTTCACTGCAGAAGGTAAAGGTAGGCCTGTGCCCAACTGGCCTGCCATCCAAGAAGACAACAGCGCCCAGGAAGATATCCGGTGCAACGCCTGGAGGCCTATGATATGCTGCAACTATACCTTGCAACAGCGCCCCCTGTAACACGACGGCTTGAAGCGGGCTGTCAACAGTAGGGTGAGCAAAGGTAAAATCAACGCGTGCAGCATGCAACATATTGGCAACCTGGCAGTAAAGGTCCTCATCAGGAAGACCAGCATGGCATGGGAACCTGGCCACATGAGATGCGAGGGCAAGCCACTTATCAGAGCGGACTTCGCACTCCCCGGCACAAAACTGCCCCAGGATCTCAGATAGCTCAGCAAGGTTAGTGGTCAGGGCCGGAAGCCAGAATGGCGGGGCACCAGCACGAACAAATTTGAAGACAGACCCGTGCTCAGCACAAACGATCTGATCGGAGCGAATGGGCTTATTAGAGCCGCTATAATACACATCCCATGCCTCATCCACATACGCATCAGCGAAGACTTCAAGCTGAGCAAGCGTAACAGAGCAGCGGCCAAGCTCAGCCCAAACCGGCCCTCGTAGGGCCGATAAATCGACAACAAAGGCAACAAAGTCAGCGGCTTTGGCCCAGGCCGGCTCTGCAACGAAGGTAACCTGCCCAGGGCAGGGTTGTGGGCTCGCAAAGGTAAGGACAGCATCATATGGAGCACAGGCCCATTCACCTGCAGCCTGACCCAAAAATGCGAGGGCAGTCGAGGCGGGCGCAACCACTAGCCGGTGTGTGGGGAACCCTGCCGTGAGGATAGCACAGGGTAAGGCATTGGTACAATCAGCAAATCCGTCATTCCCAGCAACAACCTCGTGCCTAGGAGGCCGGATATATGTGCCACAGTAAGCCTCGCTGTACGGAAAATCATCCGGCATCAAATTGCGAACGGATTCACACGCCTGGACGGCTTCAACCCAGCCATCTGGTGTGGCCCAAACCAAGGTCGGCAGGGCGAGAAGGGCCAAAAGGAAAGACGGCCAATGGGGGGCACGGCCCCTGGCAGCGGGTAGCTTGAAGCTTTTGCTGCGTCGTGGAACAGAGGCGGCACCCCAACACAAGGCAGTCTCACACGGAGACCCTGGTCTGCAAGCAAAGCCCAAGGGGCGTAAACAAGCAGCAGTATGACCCAAGCACGGCAGCCACAACCAGCGAAAGAAGGGAGAGCGGCGACTCGGACTTGTCTGGCGCAACATACAGAGAAGCGCCAAGAAGAAAATGGCAAGGAGGCCTCTGCACAGTGGCAGAAGCAATTGCTGAAGGTGGTGGAGCAAACTGAGAACAACTCGGTTTCCCTCCTGGCCTTGGGCATAGGGCCTTGGCAGTGAGCACCCCTGAGCCACCGATGTGCTTCTTTGGCACTGCCTAGGACCCCTAAACCCTAACTTAGAGAAACCGAGCCCCCACTGCAAAAGCGACAGGGGGCGACATATCCAAAGCCTGCAGCTGGGACGATCCAGGGGGCATGGTTTACTGAGAGGACCATAAGACCTGCCAGGACACAAAGGGAAGGAGACCTCCATTGCTCCTCCGAGACGAAAACCCCAGTCGCCGGAATGATGAGCAATGCCTTGTCTACACGGAAAAGCATATATACACCTAACTGTACACTTCAGATCGCCTTCAGGTTCAAGAAGCAGAACAGCCACCCTACCACAAGACCTGCCAGACCCGTCTTCCACAGCGGGGACCGGGGCAGTAGGGTGGCCAAAGCTACCCCGACTGCACACACAACCCGATATGGGACAGAGCCGGCTGGTAATGTGCCGACGGGCTGCCTGCTTCAAGCTGAGTGTCACTCCATCTTGGAAAAGGTCAGGTCCTGGTCGGAATCGTCGTCCTCTACTATGCCAACCGGCGATACATGCCCGTCCGCGCCTGGCCCGGAAGCACCGGGCGCAGCGGCCTCCGTGCCTTCTCCGATAACCGCCTGCGGCGTCAGCGGCCGGCCATCCATCACTGAATCCGCGAAGGCTTTGGCTCTGGCAGCCGTGAGCTTCTGTTCCAGCGGAATGCCTGCGGACGCCTCCTTCGGTGGAAGCGATCTGGTCTTGACGGAAGTGCGCTTGACAGCCTCCCTCGCCTTGGTGCCGGGAGAGAACTGAGGCGAGGCAAATCCCTGCTCCGTCAAGGGCACCTCGGCCCCAGTGAAGGGAGCTGGTGGCTTCGGCACGTGGTACGTGCCCCATGCGGGATCCAAGGCTGTAGCCAGTCCGGGTGGAGCCATCGAAGGCTCCGGTCGCGCAGCACCCATGCTCAAAAAGTCCGGCATCACCATAGAGGGCTGCGGCGGGTTTACGGCCATCGGAGCAGAGGAAGAGACCCCACTCTGTTGGCCGGCCATGTAAGCTCTCTGCAGCAGCGCTCTGACATCGGACTCGCTCGGGTCCGCCGTCCAGCTGTTGACCAAAGCAGTCCAAGCTTGATCCTGAGCCGGCACTGCAGGTGCGGCCTGTCGACCTGTAGCGGCTACCTGGCGCAGGTCCGTGCGCGCTGCGTCTTGCGTGGCCAAGGCCTTCTGTAGTTCGCCTTCCAACCTGGCGACTTCCTTGCTGAACCTCTGCCGCTCTTTGATCCAAGCCGCTTTCATCTGCTCCATATAGTCCAGCCATTGCTGATTCTTCTCCTTGATGCTGTTCTGCACGGTAATGACCCTCTGCTCCGCCTTCCTGGTATTGTTGAGATTCTGCTGCAACTGATTCGCAAAGGTGGGCTCCGGGGCACTGTCGTCCTGCCGCTGATCCATACCGGCTTTCCTTTGATCGTAAGACGGAAAGCGGGTCTGTGACTGCCCGCGTGGCGAGGCAGACCAGGCACCACGCCAAAGCGCCCACTCTCTTGCAGACCATTGCTGCTGAGTCTTCTGCCACGACTTGCCACCCATCGAATGGTGGTTATACAGAAGGGCGAAATCCGCTCGCGAAGGCGGAACTCCTCTGGCTTTTGCAGCGCGGACTCGTGCGCGTGCTCTGCTCCTTCTGGCCCGCAGGTTTCTGTGCCAAGTAGGCGAAGCGGGGTACGGTATGGCCGGGCAGTCCAAGAGCCTTTGGCTCTGAGGCGTGCTCGTTGGCACTTGGGGCTTCAGTATTCCTATGGCCTTCCTGGCGAGGCGATCTGAGCCCTAAAAATAGTATAGGTAATTGTTCAGGCCCCAGGCTCCCGTTCTGCATCTGAAATTGCGTCGGCTCTGTCGCAATCACGCAAGCTTTCTGTAGTGCTCAATTCAGGTTTGGGTCGCTGTACGTGACTGCGTCCCTAATGCTCTTTTTCTGACTTTTGGGGCATGTGGGCCAAGCCCCCTTTGAGCAGGTCCGGCACGTCCACGACCGCCGCGAGGAATATCCACAACTTCCATGATGGGAGGCGCTGAAGCTGCTTGGAGCATCACCCTAAACCGTATAAACCCTAAATCCTAAGCCCTAGGATCCTTAAAGGGATCCCTGAAGGGATCCTTAAAGGGATCTATAAGGGTTTCTAGGGGGTTGTAGGCTTCCCTTCATGTCCTCAGTCACGGCTTTCGGGCTCAACTCTCGCTCCGCGGTGTGCCGCAAGACATGCAGACTAATAAGAATAAGAATAACACCAGTAACAATAGTAGTAATGGTAGTAGTGACAGTTATAACAACTCCAAAATGTTAGGACCCACATAAAGTATCAAAGATACCAGCGGTTTCTTAGTCAGGTTCTTGTGGGCAGCTCTCTAAATTAGGCTGACTCTTTAGGTCCCCCAAAACAACCCGGCACCCTTGTAAAGGAGGACCCTAAACCGGGGACCCTACCTTTAGACAAGTATGCTTCGGGGTTTAGGGTTTAGGCTCACCCCAGAGCCTGTGCGATGGAAGCTGAAAGACGGGACCAAGTAGGACTGAGTGAAATTTCTGCTTCGGCCCTCAAACCCCTGAACAAGCGAAATCCTAAACCCTGCTGACCCTGAAACCCACGAAGACAGACAAGCAAAGACTTAAAAAACAAGACTCGAAAGCTTCCAACGACCTAAGAATCCTCAATACCTTAAACCCTAAACCCTAAACCCTAAACCCTAAACCCTAAACCCTAAAACCTATAAGCCCTATAAGCCCTAATCTCCAAGCCCTATAAGCCCTAAACTCCTGGAGGAACCCGGCAGTCGCCTCTAAGGACCTCCACACCACGCACCATAAGACCCGCTGCGTTTAGGGTTTAGGGTTTAGGGTTTAGGGTTTAGGGTTTAGGGTTTAGGGTTTAGGGTTTAGGGTTTAGGGTTTAGGGTTTAGGGTTTAGGGGCCTTATCGGAACCCTTTTTGGTTTGGGGTTTAGGGCTTAGGGCTTGGGGTTTACGGCTCAGGGCTTGAGGCTTTGGGTTTAGGGCGTAGGGTTTAGGGCTTTGGATTTGGGGGTAGGGTTTAGGCTTTGGGGTTTAGGGCATAGGGTTTAGGGCTTGGGGTGTAGGGCACAGGGTTTAGGGTTTCGGGCTTAGGGCAAGTTTAGTTGGCTCCAAAATCTCGGTGTCTGCCTTCGATGAACTCTTGTAAGGTGATCTGGCCATCTCCATTATCCTGGGCTTCTCTTGGCGGCCCTTTGAAAAGACAGATCTGTGGCTCTTTCTTTAGAAACGGGCTGTACTAAAACATAAAGAATAATCCTCTCTTCTGCGGATTACATTACACAGATATTTCAAGAAGAACTCCACCTCTTCTAAAACCTCATCCGAGACATACCCTATTGAATCCTATAGAGCCCTCAGAAACGGCTATAGACGCCCTGTGAGCCTAAGGAAAACCTTGTCAGTTAATCCTCTTCTAGAATGTAGCCGGTTTAGGGTTTAGGGTTTAGGGTTTAGGGCCTACTGAACCCTACAGACGAAAAGACGCCCCTAAACACACCCTCTAAGAACCTGTGAAACTACGGGCAAAACCACTAAACACCACACACGTCTAAGGAGAACGGTGGTTCTGTAAATTAGGGTCCTTTCTAATCCCTAAACCCTAAACCCTAAACCGTGAGTCTAAGGTCCTTTCTTGTTCGGGTGCCACCTTCTTTCGGGGCCGCTAACTCAGAGAACAACCCAAAAGCTTCTCAACACCTATAACCCTACACTTTGTTTAGGGTATAGGGTATAGGGTTTAGAGTTTACCCCAAATCCCAAACCCTAAATAAACCGTAAACCCCAAAAATCTGACACCCTAGATCCTCAACCCCAGTAGCGGACCCTAACTTAGAGAACTGATGTAGGAACCTGAAAAAGAAACCCCGGCCCGATACCACCAAAATATACAAATTCATATTAGGAACCCGAAACCCTAAACCCTAAACCCTAAACCCTAAACCCTAAACGACTCAAAGTTCCTTAATCAGGTTCCCAGAGTACCCAAATAGACTAGAGCTTGTTATACTACGCTTATAGAAACCCCTATAGGAAGCCTTATAGATCCCTTCTAAGGAAAACCCTTTGAAGAAAGCCAAACCTAAACCCCAAACCCTAAACCCTGAACCCTAAACCCTAAACCCTAAACCCTGAACCCCAAACCCTAGACCCCAAACCCTAAACCC